ACTGTGAGAGACAGTATCGAAAGCTTTACTGCAATCTAAAAAAAATGACATCAACCGGCTTCCCTTGGTCAACTAGATGGGTGACCTTTTTGTAAAAGGAAACTAAGTTTGTTAAACAGGCCCTTCCTCTCACGAACCCGTGTTGGCTGTGACCAATGACTGCGTTGTCCTTCAGGTGTTTTTCGATTTCAGTTGAGAATATATTCCCTTGATGTTGAACTTTTCAGATAGCTTTAGAAAGCCAGAACAAACCAAAAAGCTTTTGAACATCAGCTATTTTGGAGTGCAATGCAACTTGAGACTTTTTGAAAAGAATTTGATCATGTTTCAGTCAAAGAACATTTCAGAAAGCTGTGACATGAGAGTCAATTTTTAAGACAAAATGTAAATTTTAGGGACACAAAGAAATACTATTTTCCCAACAGACTAATTGATTGGGAAAGGACCAAATTAGGCTGAATTGCCAGAAAAAATTCCTGAGAACAAGATATATTCTATCACTTAGGGAATTTAACACTGAGACTGGATAAAATATTATAGCATCTGCTCTGGAGAACAATCACCACCCTAAGAGAAATGCTCCAATTAATGATCCAGTAGATTCTTTCTTTTTCAGGTATCATACAAAAATCTTTGATGCAATAAACCTATTACTACAGAGAAACCATTTTGTTCTTCCTTAAACAGTTAAGGCTCTGCTGATACTCTCTAGCTGACACAGGAGTATCAGGAGGGAAGAAGACTACACGGAAAGATGACAATAGCTACAGATCATAAACAGACTACTTTTTAAAAAAATTTACCAAGTAGTAAGCATCTCAAGCTTTCATGGCACAAGATCAACCCACAGGTTTCTCTTTACTGCTCTATTAACAGCAAGCAAATAGGTAGTTTGGAACTAATACCTGAAGGCCTCATGGCATAGTTTACGCGCTCGCCTCGCCAATATTCCAGAGGTCTCAGTCGTATCCTTTTTGTCCGACGAACATTAGGTGTGTTGGAAGGCATTACTAATTTAAAGGATGAAATAATTCACATTAAGTAGATGAAAGGAAAATTCAGAAATGGAAAACATTAAATATCCTTTCCTGTTGTTCTGTATCAGGGGGTCAGCACTTCCCAGCTGATATTTCTAACACATTGCTATCATGACAGGAAAAGAGAATCAAGTATTGCCAAAAGCCTTCTTTTGCATACATCAGTATTTCACTCTCCTTTTTCTTATACACTTACCATGCTAACTTTACATTAAATTTCATTCTATATTTTGTAGAATTGTATCATTGAGAAACAGACATTAGGGGCTCAAGCACAAGGAGCAGCAAACATGCTACAACTGAAGACAAAGCTCTCGAAGAAGACTAAGAAACCTGCCTAAATCTGAGGGATTTCATTAGCAACAGCAAAAAGGCATTGCCTTGGTTAAGGCAAAAGAAGAGTAACAGAGACTGCATAAGTAGCCCCTCCTCTTCCAGATTCTTAAGTCCCGTCTCCAAGGCCCAGAAAAGCAGCACTTTTGCCAACAGAAACTCTACACATTTCCAAGACTTCTCAGGTATTTATCTTAAGACTTACTTATTACATAGCCTCAACTTTCAATTTTTCTAAGCTGCCATATATGAATATAGTAAGATTCAATATTTTAGTGTTTGTAAGAAAGAATAAAAGCCCTTTAAGAGTTGAGAGCAAATTAGTCAAGAATATTTAAATGTTAAAAATAAAAATGGTTAAAAAAAAAATGCTGAAAATTTTTGAAGGTAGACAACTATAGTGTCGTGCATAAAATAACGAAGAGAATAAAAAACCCAATAAAAGCAGACTAGTATGGGACTACAACTGACTGCATGCCCATTGTTCCATCCTATCCAGACTCAGACTGCCACAGAAGGCAAGTTCTTTGTACCCTCAGTTACACTGTGTAAAACTAATTCAAACTCTTACTGTTCTCACTGAACTGTAATCAATATTAGATAAAAAATGGAAATGTGACAGTTAAAAAGATAATAAATAAAAAAATAAATAAAAAAGAAACACTAGAAGTTCTTGAAAGTAACTTAAAAATTAGAGCAGCATTCTAGTACCCTGAAGAACTAACAAGGCTTATCTGTAAATATTTATTAACATATGAACTCATTTCCTGGTGTTTTCCTATGTCTCCTTCAGCAAAGTTTACATCAAATTGGAAATGCATTTGTAGTTATACACTTACATTAAGATATTTTAAAATGATCTTACCTATTTTATGCCTTGCTATGTTGTCTGACAACAGATTTCTTATTTGACAATTCAAGTCTTCAGAACTATCTGAAAATACATTCAGAAAAACACACCACTATGGGCATTTACTATTCCTGACATTTATTCAATATACCCACTAGAAGCAACCAAAGATAATACAAGCAGAAGTCCCAATGTTAGCATTCCCACTAACATTTTTTTCTTTAAACACATATGAAACCCAATGTAGATAAACAGTAATTAGATTTTAAACAGTGTAAGCTTGAAAATTACATGAAAACTATACATTCAAGTAAATATTCCCATCCCTCTGATAAAACAAACATTGGCAAATTAAAACTACACATATAATTTGATTAATCAAAGTGCAAGGTCATTCAGCTTTATACCATTCAAGCCTATCTTTAGAACAAACTTCTTACCAGAACGCACACAAAACTAGGTCTCTGAAGAAAGCACTGCATGAACTAATAACATTCACAACTGGCTCTAAAACACTGATGAAAAACTTTCTATCCCCAGGGCTCATATTCTTTATGACAATATGTGCAACTTGCGTAGGGAAACTTAAAAGAAAACCAAAATATTTTTAGGCAAACAGGTCACAATTCCATAAGGCTGTACAATGTGGTCTAGGGTGGCCTAAAGCGATTGTATATAGTACCATCCCAAGGCAACACACCAAACTGGTACAAACCGAGTCTAAAAAATTTGTTCGAAGTATTTTGGAAGGATAACTTTATCCTGGTAGGTTTGATGCCAAACCGCGTAGTGCTTGTCCTTCCAAAGCTAACACAACGTAAAGCTGGCATACTATATCATGTGCTTGGGCAGAAATCTGACCACAGCCAATACAATCTCCATTTCTTATTCTGGACAAGCGGAATACAACACAAATTACTGTACCATCAATTACAGCTTATAAGAAGTTTATATATATATATAAAATGCAAGAAAACACCAACTTTAAACATTACCTGAAGATGTATTATCCTGTTCACAAGACTCGCTTCTGGAAGTAAATTTATCACAATGTTCTAGAACAGGCCCACTTCAAAGGGGAACAAAAAACACCTGCTTGAATATGTTAAGTGTCAAAGGAACATTACAGCACTACCAAGAATAGCAAATTTAAGTCTTCAGATCATGTGGGTTTTGGTTTTTTTGTTTGGTTTTTTTTTTCCTTCTAAACATCTGTCTGTACCTATTAGACTCTAAAGCAAATGACTGCTAGTTAGGAATCACAGGTCCAAAACTGATCAATTGCTCCTCTATTCAGTCATCAGGCAGACAAACCAGTGTTCACACCTTCTCTATAAACAGGTTTCCTAGAAATCTTATAACTTCTTTTTCTTTTTTCTCCCTTCCGGAAGAAACACACCTTCTCCTTTCCTCTGTAGCATTACCTTTCAAACAATTTTCCATAGATCATGATTATAGAAGTGCTTTAAATAAATGTTTTGCATACTATAAGTACAGTAAAATAGTTGTAACTGTAATTTGTAATATGTATTCTGTCATAAAATCTCCCACATAAAATGACAATAATTAACATGCATGTAACTCCACCAGAGATTCTCTAGCAATCAAATTACTTATAACAGGACTTCTCTTGCAACCTTAGCATTAGTACCCCTAACCTTTCCTCTTTCTCCCATCTGTGGCTATGCTTTTACTGTGCCGGTGAAGTTCAGCTGTGATCCACCTAAACTCCAAAAGATGCATTTCAATGCTAGATTAGCAAACCTACACTACAAATTTGTCCAATTAAGTCTGCAGTAGGATCACTTAGAATAAAAAAAAACCCCAACATTTTCAGTAGAAGTACACCATAAGAATTTAATAAATTCACAGACTGTCACTCCTATTTGCTTTGTTGTTAAGTTCCTATCCCATGAAGGAGAAGATATGTGCATATCTACATGCACAAACAAGAGTTTGGATTGTAGATACAGTTCTATACCCTACTTAACAGCAACTTTATTAGTACAACTGTTATTAGTTCTAGGAGCACTGGGATTTCTGTTCAAAAATCACACACTAATGTGGAAGCCAGCCTCAAAGGAAAAAAAATCCCCAAACACAAGAAACTTACTATGACCCCATATTCATGATAGGAAGAATTGTATTAATTAACTGTATTAGCATGGTATTTAAACACCTCAGGCATGAATCACGATCCCTTTTCTACTAGGTTCTTCACTAGCAGAACACAGTAGTAGTACAGCTGTTCTGTCTCAGTGGGGCAGAAGTGGGATTAAATGCAAGTTTTACAGACAACTCAGGAAATTACCTTTCAAGACTTGCAGCCTTCTCAGCTGCAAAGGAATCTCTAGAAAAGAAAAAATTATTAAGTTTACTGTTAAGTCGATTTTCCTTACTGAAAGAAACCTGTAAGCCAATAATTTTACATACTGAATAGAACCATGAAAGAGACATTTTAAAAAAAATTTTAAAAGCAATGCAAAGAATAGTGATTAAAAACTCAATTAGACTGGTTAAAGAAACTTCCTCTTTTGATTTTGATTATTATTAGTAAAGTTATTTCCACAAAAACAAACACAGCTGAAGAATTAAACACTGTATTTTCTCAATTTATAAATAAAGTATCAAATCTGACAGTGATGTTATTCTATGGGTGGTGGAGCTGTGGTGGCCATGTGTGCCTTTGTCTCGTTTGTTTGTTTGTTTTAAACTGGATCTGCTACACAAGTCTCAAAAGAACACTTTAAAAATTCCAGCACCAGTTTCTTTACCTAGAAGCAGACACTAGATTTGGCATCCACCTTTGAGAATAGGATGTTGATTACACCACTTGGTTTCTCTATTAGCTATTCAACCAATCTGAAACTGTCACATAGTTCAATTGGGCCACTAATGCTTAAAAGTTAACAAGACCTGTTTAATTAACTACCACATTATACCATACTTGTAAGAAATTGCATAAAAAGCTTACTGTAGTCCATGTTGCGTGTTACGTTTTCTTTTGTTACTTTTTGTTTTCACATCTGATAACTTCTGTTTTTCAATTGCCATATCCTGTACAGAAGAGTTGTCATCCGTTTGAACCTCTGTGTCCTCAGGGTTTGAGCAAACACCTTTACTCGTTCTGCGATTGATCTTTTTGGGTATCTTCCCTGAAGACTTAGCTGGCAATCGTTTCTTTTCAGAATTCTTCACACTGTCTAAGAGGTGCTGTAGTGCTTTTACAGGCGTTTTGTTATTTGCACCACCAAGTGACTCCAATGTGTGCAATAAATTTTTAGGCTTTTCAGACTCAGCCAACTTCTGAACCACAGAAGTCTGTCGTTTCTGATGCAGGGGTGAGGTAAGCACTTCATTCAATTTTACAGGCTCTCTTTCAAGCTCTTCCTCACCAGGTTCACTGTCAGAACTCAGCTGTCTTGGTAACTGAGGCTTTTTCTTACTACTTTTCTTGCCAGATTTTTTAGGCTTCTTCCTTGGACTTTCTGCCAGTTTCTTAGCTACTGTATCTTTTGGAAGTTTCTGCTTAGCAGTTTGTTTCTTCTGAACTAAATGCTGAGAAGCTTTTGAAGCCGACTGCAGATGCTTGGAAGACTTAAGATTCTTTTTTGGAGACACAGTCCGCTCTTGCTGATGCCCAGGTGAGGGTATAGGTGAATCCTCACTTAGCATCACCTTTGTTTTACTTTGTTCTGCATCAGATGCTTTTGTTTCCAATCCAGACTGTGACAATATCAGGTTTTGGGCTTCTGGTTTCCAGGACGTGTCCTTTTTCTGGTTTGGAGAGCCTTGCCTAAGTGCATCCTTTTTAGTCTTTCCTATAAATACACAAAACACTTGGACATTAATATCTTTTCCCATTAAACCTGAAGATATATGTTGACATCTGAATGTATAAAAATAAACCAAAGAATAATAATAAAAAAAAAAAAAGTATCACAAAATCAGATTTTCCCCGATGGTTAAAAGAAGGCTTTCTCTGAACTAGTGTATTAAAAATTCAAACCAGAATTTTTTGTGTACTTCCAGTATTTCCTAGCAGAAAAAAAGGACAGAAATGTTACACTCAACCTTCTTTCCAGTTTGCAGTGCTTCCAGCTACAAAACCCTTCTCAAATAATTCCTAAAAATCAATCCCCTCCAGTTCAAAGCAAATATCTTAACCTCCTTTCTACGGAGAGAGGAGCAAAAGCTTGTGGCAAAAGCTACCTTCTTTGTTCTTAAGAAAAGGCAACGCTGCTAACTTAATTTGTAATGTCCTAACAGGAAGGGCTAGGGGAAAAACAGAAAGAGTGAAGATACTCTGTCTCACTGCTTTATATACAATCAAACCTAACTGTGCAACTGAAACATCAATTAGGAATCCATTAATATCTCTCATCTACATTATCCTTATTTCCCAATAAACCACCACAAAAAACCCCAGTAATATGACCTGAAAGGAGACATATGAAGACCTGTTAAATAACTTACCCATACGAGTACAGTTTTGGCTTTGAGATTTAAAGACCTTTCCTTCAGTGTTAGAGACTGGATCTGAATTTGATGTTCGTTTGAAGTCATGTACTCTAATGTCCAAATCACCCATTTTCTGTTTAGTAAGTGCTTCAACCTGTACTTTTCTGTCCTTGCCTTTCTTATTCTCTGTCTTCTCCTTTTCAGAGGGCTGAGATTTAGAAACAGGAGTTGCAGAGCCATCTTTTTTTGATTTTTTGCTCTTACGGGGTATTGAAAACCAAGAATTAAAAGATACACCATCTGATTCATCAATTAAAAATTCACATTCATTTTCTATTTCTGTATCTTGATCTTTCACAGGAGGTGGTGATGGTGGTGATATTGAGGTCGAGTACCTAAAGAAAGGAAGGACAAAATATCCACGTCATTTTGGGGGGAAAAAAATTACTTTCAATTTTGCAAATCTAGTGGTGACTCCAGAACACCTAAACACACTACAAGACATTCCTCGGAAGAATTATTATAAAGTTCATCATTCGTTGCCCTTTAGCTTCCAAAAAGAGCACAAGGCCTGCTTCTCCTTGCTTTGGCCTCATATTCACACCTCATTATCCATATTAGTTCTGAAAAAACCTGCTTGATGTTTGCTAACTTCAGAATCACATAAGGTTATCCTGAATCATCCAGCCTTCCTTCCAAAACATCTCAGGCTCAATCTGAAACGCTATTCAACAGCTACATACTATTTTACTGGCAACAGCACTGTTAAATCCTAACAGCACGTAACTTTGAAACAACTATTAAAACTCTTTCTCAGGTGGGATTTTTCAGTAATGTTGGACTATCCCAAAACACTGTCCAAGACCATGTTTATAGATAAAAGGATGTTGCTCCAGTACTCAGGACTGGGTTATTTTACTAGCAAATTATGTTTCATATTAAGCCTCAAAACAAACCTTTTTCCAGATGTTCCTGTTGCTACAGCTGCTAAGACAACTGAAGAGAAAGACTTCTCTTTCTGTACAGAAGACGTAGCAATACGTTCTGTTCCTTGCACGAGAACAACCTGCTCATCTCTCCCAGTCTGAAGTCCTTCCAAATTTTCAACTTCCACATGGCTCTTCACTGCATTTTGGTCATCAAAATGTAATCTATGTATGAGAAACAGCATTCCAATATGATGCTAGAAATCCTGAGCACACATTGAAGTATCATGTGGATGGACAGATGGTCTCATTTTCTCCTGTTGACAGCGTCTCACTTCTTATGAATGAGCTTCCATCTGATAATTTGCTGGAACCCAGGCTAGCAGCACTACTTCCCAGCATAGCAGCAAGTGTCCAAATCAATAAGACAACATGGGGTCAGCTTGTGACTCTTGATCAAGGTGAGGGCTGCTCAGCAAGAGAAATTCCTAATTTTAGGAGCACATGCTTCGGCAATTGTCATGTTCCCTAGACCCTAGGTGCATTCTCTTCCCAATCTCACTCCATCACCGGGAGTCAATGGGATCAGCGTCAGTTCCTCTCCATGATCTACCCTGGAGATTCAGTCCTCCAGGAAAGCAGAACTGTGGCTGGGACCACTGGCCACTATTGCAGCTGTGCTTCAAATTTTCCAAAGAGGAGATAATGATCTCAACTGAAGTTGTTCTACTTTGTATAAAATATTTGTATATTCAGAGCGAGAGGAACGATGACTGCTCATCTCTGCTTTAACAAAATTTTGGTTAACTTTTAAGGTCAACACTGTCAATAGTCTAGACTTTTTCAGTGAATTCTATCTGAGAAGCTGATAATTTGGGGCACTTGCCTGTGAAAAAGGAGTTCAAATCTATCCTGACAGGCTTCCTGCACTTGGGTATGGCACTTTTGGAAATTAACCCTTATCACCAGAGTATTTAATAAAAAAACAATTCTCTCCTTTCTAAACCCAAATATGGAAATTTTCTAAAAAGCTCGGAATTATATTTTATGAGTTCAAAATTCAAACTCATAAATGACTGAGACCACCGTTTTATTTTACCCTAAGGGGTGGGGCTGGGGGGTATAACACCACCGCCACATTTAGCTCTACTTACGTATGTACAGGAGAACTTTTTGCTTCCTCCACAAGAAGAGGTGATCCAACAGACCCATAATCATCCTCAGGGTCCGAAGACATAGCAGGACTTTTGCATAGTGCTTCAACATCTTTTAATATATTATTTGTTTCTCTTTTAGACACAGAAGACTTTGGATTTTTAGAATCAGCTATGTAATCACATATTGCAGGCTTCAGGGGTGATTCATGTGACCATCCTGCCATATATATATATATAGAATAGGTTAAATTCTTCTACTCAAAACCTTACAAAATCCCCAGAAAAAGTTACCACCCCCAAAAAAAACTTAATTCAGTAATAATAATAGTGCTACCAACCTCTGCTGCTGACTGTTTTTAGTGGTGATGCAGGTAAGGACTCTGCAGAATTACAGGCTCTTTTCACAGAGTTAGTTAACCCTGCCTTTGACTGTCATAGTCAATAACAAATAATGAGACAAAGTAAAATATTTGATAAAGTAACAGTATTTTGACAGGAATATAAATTTCTACAGAACACAATATAATTTCCTTCCCTTAATTTTTACTCATTTGAAGCACAGTTCTACTTTAACTAAACACTTCAATTTTCTATCATGTAAGACTTTCTAAAACTTAACTGTAAATTTCAAACAACAGGTAAAACAGTGTGTACAGTGAAAATGAATTTGCAGCTTTGAACAGACATCCTGCTAGTCCACAGGCAAGCAATTTACTCTTTTCATCAGAATGAATTTAAACAATTTAATTCACCTTAAGTCAGGCTGAGGTTTTGCAAAAATTTGCAAAAAAATAGAGTATTCTAACATCAGACCAAAGTAAACAAACACCATTATAAAGGATGCCTGTTCTCAACGCTGCCATTAATAGAATACCCTATTTTTACAAAAAACTACTGGAATCAAAATATTAAAACTAGATATACAAACTAGATTATTGGTATCATTCTGACAGCACGTTAACAAGTCCTTCACCTTGCTTCTAATCTTCAACAAATTTACAGATATACAAAGTTATTGTACAGATAACTGTTTATCAGGAGTTGGCAAGCAGCTTTTATACAAGAATCATCTTTCAATTGTACTACCCATCAGATAGCTAAGAACCATGTCCATATACCTGGCAAAGTGACTGAAACCAAACCCAATGGAGTCCAAGATAGTCATACCCACCCCCAGTTACAATGCAGCGTGCTTCAACTCGAGACCCTGAGAAATTTAACTATCCCAAACAAAAAGCTGAAAAAGCTTTCGTCAGCAAAAAAACAGGAAAATAAGCTATTAAATAAATCTTGTTATAGAATATTTACTATTAGATCACAACAAACTAAGAAAAAACATTACCAACAACTATTACAAAAGGTTAAATTATAACCTATATACTAATACATATGGCACTTATTCATTCAACACTTATACAGAATTAAATCCTACAGAACTAAACTTGTACCCAAGTGAAACCATAACCACTGCTGCGTCGTGACACTGCCATAACTAACTTACCCTTTGGCTCTGTATTGAAGTTCCTTTCTCATTTCTGACAATCAGGGCTGAGCCATGGGTTGCACTTGGAGAGCTTATTGTAAGATCACTATCACAACCTACAAAGAAAAAACTATAAATAAGGGATTCTTGGAATTGTCCAGGTTTCACTTATTTTAACAATTTGCTAAGGCTCATTTAGGTCACACAAATTCAAACAAGAAAGAAACCAGCTTCTTGGGAAAAAGATTACGTTTATAAAACAGCTAAGACACAGCTTTAAGCTGCTAGGAAGAGGGTGCTTTTAAAGACTGTGAGAAAGACATTATTTTTATCCATTTTATTGCTATTTTTTTAATTGCTATTTATTTACCACTAAATATAATACCAGGAAATAAATTATTTTTTCTTTAACCAGCAAATTAAGCAAAACACCAAATAAAAGCTTACTTTCAAAACAATCCTGTATGAGTTTCAGTACGTTTTGACCTGGCTGTACATCAATCTTCTTTCTAGAAAGAAGTAGGGGAAAAAAATATTTTCAGACAAAAATATTAAATGTTCCTACCCCAGCAATATAAAAAGCAGGAAAATTCTTACTACTTAATATTTTAGATTATTATTTCACTAGTCCCAACTTTAATATATTTTACCTACCATTTCCACACACAGATATCTGCAAAGAAACTTTGTCTAAATAAGGATTCCAGGAGAAAAAGTCCCACTGTCTCAGAATATGATGAGAATGAAGAAATCTCTCTACATAAAAGAAACTATACAACTACTGCAACAGCCCTCAGGTAAAAGGGCTTTGGGATGAATAGAGAGTCTAGCTTGAAATAAATAATTCTAAAAAATCAGTCCTCAAGTAATGCTGCCTGCCCAGTGATCCAGTCTCAACAGACCCAGAAATAAAACGTGTAGGTTGCAAATCTGTCCCTTCCTACAAGGAGTCCCCCTCTGCTTCTCCTTCTACCACTTACCCACAGTTATTCTGTGCTTCTACAAAAGTTTCAGTGGCAACAATTGGCCTGAGGTATCAAATCCGTAAGCAAGCGAACAGCTGGGCTGCTTGGATTACTATTTCAAACCTCCCCAGCACAAATGAAAATGGCAATCCACATTGATCAAAACCAAAGTAACAAGAGAAAAGCCATAGAATATTTCTCCCATAATGATTATTATAAGCCTTTAAAAACAAGTAATTTAGTAGATTTGGTAAGTTCATGAAATGCATGTCTAAAAATGGATTCCAGTAACAAAAAGCTCGCATCATGTGGGAAACATCATATGATCAGTTTAATAAGATACACCCAACAGTTTTGACATTAAGCTCTCGGACAAAAATCAACAGAAGTTTTCCAAACAATTGTATCTAAGAATAAAATTTTAAATGTAAATTACCTTCCTCCATGGCAGAATCTAGCTCTGTACTCTTTTTTAAAGTGATTCTGTAAAGAAATAAGAATCAGTTTTTACTAGGCATGGTGACACTCGACAGAAAAACAAATAAGTGACCAAACTCCTGTTTCTCATGTAAGCGAGTCTCAAGGATTCTTGATCCGTCTGAAACTAATAGGAGTTACTGCAGCCTTGTTCTTCTGAGAATGCCACAGTAGCTACAAATCCTGTAACAACTGCCAGAAATTCAGCTTTCCTCAAAAACAATCAAGCATCTGTTGCATTTAAAAATCAGAGAAACTTACAGGAGACTTACATGACAGAAATCAGAGAATCTAAGGATTTAGTTAATATTTCTGTGATGACCACAGAAATAATCTTTTAAGTAAGGAAAAGGAATTAACTACCCCACAAAGCAAGCTAGGATATAACCTTACAACACATCTGCTGCTCTGTGAGAGCTGCTCACATGCAGATTTTCACCTGTGTTTATCACAGGCAAGACCACATTGACAGGCAGTGAGAGCACATCAGCTGTTCCATGGTAAAACTAAAGTCTCAATCAACTCCCAGCACTCCTTCGAATAGCAGACATGACTCCAGTCATCTATTACCACAACTATAGTAATATTTCAAATATCTATATTAACAGCATTGCTTTCTAAGCCAAAGTCTACTGAGCTGGGAACAGGCAAAGACTGTAGAGCATAAAAACAGGAAGGAAAGGCAAGGCAAGAAAAATTAGAGAGCTAAGCAGAGTGCAGTTTTTCACCAATGTGATAAGAGAATGTTTCAAAAAAATCTAAATGTTTAGCTGAAAAACAATTATGACCTCTTCATTTGTGTAAACTGGAATAGAGTATATGTGCAGTGTGGAGATTATCTAGTCCAAATACAACAGAATTCAGCACATTTTTCCTAAGTTTACCATACTGACATTACTTTGCACTTCTTTGTGATTCCTCTTTAGATGTTACTTCCGGTAATAAAAATAACCAAAATCACATAAGGATTTATTCCACTGCAAATTTTCAACATCAGCTTAAAATGGCAGAAAGAAACTCTAGGTCACACAGGAAAATGACTGACCAAAAGTCATCACTTCAGAAACACTGCAGAACCATGCTCCACAGCAAAGCAGTCACTCAGGCTTAAACTTCTTCCCCTTGTAGCAGAGTGCAGTATAACCAATTGGCAAGCAACCTTTCATATAAGAAAATGAAAAATTCCTGTAACGGATCTAAAAGAGCTCTTAACAGTTTATTTATTGCTATGTTCATACCCCGCTATACATAAAGAGCTTTTAAAACTTAAGCTCCCCGTGTACCTCTGACAGAGGACGGTAGAAGGGAGATGAGTACGGCAAGAGTCGCTGTTTCTTTACGCGCTAACCCGAGAAAGGAAGATCTCCAGAGACGAGCGACAGGCGCAGCTGCAGGCAGCCTAAGGGAAACGGGGCTCCCAACAGACAAGCTCTCAGAGCAAAAGTGCTTCTGCCAGCAACCGAGGCCAAGAGGGAGGGCAGAGTCCCTCTCAGGGGGACGCGGGGGCCCCCCCCAGCGCCTCACCGCGCCGTCAGGGGTGCAAGGATGGCCCGTGGGCCCGCTCGCTCCTCAGGCGCGCCGTGAGGAGAGGGCCGCGCCCCGGCTGTTTCGGAAGG